GAAAGCGACAACAGGATAGTATTCCACATCATTGATTCAACTCAACTACAAGTCAATCATGGTTGAATCCTGGGCACAGAAATATTCAGCTGTATTGTTTCTAATCAAGGCATCAGGTTAGAAACCAGGAGACTTGTGAGTTCTAGTCTTGCCTTACGAACGCCAGTTGGTTGACCTTGGGCCAGTCATTCTCTCAGCCCTAGGAAGGAGGTAATGGCAAACCACTTTGGATATCTTGCCAAGAAAACTGCAGGATGCTGGCTGGGGGATTCTGGGAGTTGAAGTCCACCCATCTTAAACTTGCCAAGCTTGAGAAACCCTGCAAAAGGGTATGAGACTGTGCAGTGCTGTTGTGCTTAGGAGCCAATCATTTCATGATATCTACTTTTGATTTCTGCATTAAAATGCTTTCACAAAACAGCAAAAACTACTGCTATGTGCTATCTTTCTTTGCCCCCTAAAATTTTTCTAATGCCCATACAGGCAGGAAATTTGGGGAACTGTAATCTAGCCTAACAATTCTGGGAAGCATGAGGTTGGCCCATAAATGCCTTAATAGTTCGCAGGAAGAAAAAAGGCTCTTCCAACAGAACTAGGAACTTTAAATAGAACTGTCTGGAACATTTGAGTATAGCGCTGAAGAGAGAAAGAAGTTTTATCTTTAAAGCAATTATTCATTCCACATTCGCACCCTTCTCATCAGAAGGGCTCTTGACCCTAAAAAGGTGAACATGTTGATAGTGAGATTGCTACACTGCCAGACTGTAGGAGGGCAAATTACCACAGCTTTAAATTAAAAAAAATATACAGATTGCTCATCTTGAGAAAAAATGCCATTATATCTTAGCCACCTCTTGCTGTCTACCATTATATTTCATTTCTTCCCTTTCTTCCAGTCCCACTTAATCTATTGTTAGAATGTGCAGCTTCAGATACTGACCTGAATTAGCCTTCTGTATTTTTTTGCAGAGCCAAAACATAGATTGGATGCAATATTATCCAACTTGGCAATAGCTCAGGGTATAAAACTGGCCAATTAACAAGCTTTATCTTGGATGCCTATTGTGCAAAGAAGCTTCACTGGGTTGATCAGACCATGCTTTGAATTATGACACAGTTTGCCTATGCCCTATGGTATCTTATTATTACAAAACAGCAATGATTGGTCAAGAAGCCACAATGCTAGGGAAGATTTTGAGAATTTTGTTTTCTGACCTCTTATCAAGTAACCTACCCTCCAACTCTTGTGTAAAAGGATACTTCAACCGCAAGCAGTATTGAAATCAATGATAAAGTAATATTCGAGCTTATGAACCCACCAACAAAGCCAACAGGGTTCATAACATCTAAGTGACTAATTACAAAAAGTAGGTAAGAATAGATAAGCTTGGAAAAGCTGTTTTTCCTCTAAGAAACTTTAAAAAGCAACACAGTAGGCTGAGTTGTTCACGCTGCTGAAACAGAACAGTTATTGTAGAAGTTAGGACAAAGCATATACAATCAATGGCATTACACATCCAAAATTACACGGTTTGGTTTATTTTCAAAAATTTCTGCTGACACAGTATTTTAAGAAGATTTAAAAAGTGATAAAGGTATAGTCTTAAGTTACACTAACTTGTATGTAGCGAGGATGCCATTAAGAGGATGGAGATTAAAGAATCCTATCCAATACCACTTGCAAATAAAGGCAGCAAGAGAAGGTTTTTTATTGTGTGCAGAAATTTAATTCCCAGAATGAGTGGAGGAATAGATTCTGGGAACTTCATTATTTTTCATGTTGCAAAGAAATAACCAGAAGTAGAGCGGAGAGAAAAATCAAAGGGGTTAACATTTCAAATCAATTTATATGACAGACTATGAATTAAAAAAAATAGCAGCTGTAGATATTAAACTTAGATCTCCATTTTCATCTCACATCTGAAATATGTGCATAAAACGTCTATATAAAGGAAGTGTTTCACAAAGCTTTAGAGACAATTTCTTCTTTTTTAAAAACAACAACAACCAGTCAATACAATTATCTACAATTATTTTTCCAGGGGCTTCCACTTCTATTGATTTTCCAAACTGTTGGACAAAAATTAAAAAAACAAAAGCAGCTAAATTTTAAATCGCTGGGCAGATATAGAGGTTGTCTGGAATCCATCACCATCACCACATTGTCACGCTGAAATATACGCTTTTTAAAAAAATATTTCTTTTTGATAGAATGTTGAAGGCTTCTATATTAAAGGAAGTCTATTATCTCTATTTCAGAGGTGAAACAAATATTTTACTTTAGATATTCATCCATGCAGTAGTTACTTGACAACATCCAATGTACAAAAGCTATTAAAAATGCAGTTCATTTTAATGAATGGCTTACACTGAGCAAAATATCTCCATGTAAAGCAATCTGTGCAAACTAATATGTTATCTGTAACAAGGTCCATCTTTTGTTTGCTCGGCAGACAAAATCAGAGAATTCCAGGTGGTTTCACTTAGTGTTATCTAAAACCTAACTAATCGCCACTAAGTGCTAACTAAGTACCACCATTTATGTCAGCATATGGTTGCCTCAACACTTAGGACTTCTTTTGGTCCACATCATGTTAAGCTGCAGCTCCTTTTTCCAGCCACTTCATATCAAATGAGTAGTTGATCGACTGAAGGTGTGGCTTCTTTTTTCAAATAGTGATGGCAGATTGATCAAGGAAGGAGAATGGATGCTCTGTATTGTTTGGGGGAGAGGGGGAAAAGCAAATGTTAAGACTATAATCTCTTATAGAAAAAAAATATCAATAATATACATTTCAAAATGAAAGAGGGGGAGGAAGCATAATCAAAGCTATTTTGAGAAACAGAATGAAAAAAAATTTTTTTTTAATTCTAAAACATAAATTTTCCAAATGTCCTGAATATCATGTATAGAATTTCTTACCCCCTTTTTCATCACTAAAGCAACTCCATGTGCCTTCAGCAACACTATTGTGTGTACATTGCATTTATTTTAAGTTACAGCTTCCCATGACTTTTATGTCCTGCAAAGTTCAGGTCTGATGTAACCAACCCTCAAAAGAGAGGAAAACACTAAGACCTCGTTTGTTATTTAATTTTAAGAAGTTTCACCCTACCAAGCTTTCCAATCTTAAAAAAAAAACAACGGTTGATTTGCTTATTTATAACAAATCTTATCTTCTTAGGACCAAATGGCACTCTCATTCAGAACAGATGGTCCTGTTGGACCCATAGCTGTTCTTCAAAGAGCAAGGGGCAGGGACTGAGAGGGCCTCTCTACACAACCATCTTGTGCACCATTTATGGCAGTTCCTGGACCAGGAGATCCTGCATATGGTCATTCATGCTTTAATCATTTCTTGGTTGCATTCCTTAAATGTGCTTTACATTGGGCTGTTCTTGAAGACCACCTAGAAGCTACAGATTGCACATTATTTATAAAAGTACTGAATGTGTACATCTAATTTGTATGCTACCTAACTCATTGCAGGTCTGGACAGGGTATACTGTAAGTTAAAAAAACATACCCAATAAAATAAAAACTAAGAAGACAATAACCTGGGAACGATACACTGGGGAATCAATACAATTCCCGCAAAGGTCCATACTTCTTAGCCCAGCACTTGTGGAAAGAGCCAGGTCTTCAGCACTTGTTTAAAACATGACACAGGCCCCTTAAACCTCCAGGAAATACTGTGTATCCCAAAGGTGCTTTTCCACAAAGCAACTGGACTTTCTTTTTTCTCTTTGAAGACGTTTCGCTTCTCATCCAAGAAGCTTCTTCAGCTCTGACTGGATGACTGAGAATCTCCATAGACATGTGGTTTGAGTAATTATGGGCACTCCTCATTGTGCCTATGCAATACCACTACTTTGCACTGATTATCAGCAAACTTCCAGATGTGGTTGTCTGGATGCTGGCTGCCACTTTTAAAGCCTTATGTGGCTTAGGGCCTGGATATTTTTAAGAATGCCTGCCCTTTATAAGTTTGGGAAAGGAGGGCTTCCTTTGGGAATTGGAAATTAGCCTTGGGACCCTTGAAAATAGGCCTTTCTCTGTCACTGTTCTTCTTCCTACCTAGAATTAGAGCCACTCCAACACTTTTGGAACAAAAGGAGATCATTAAGACCTGCTTGTTGCAGGAAGCCTTTGGGGACTGAAGTGTGTATGCCCTTCCCTTCCTCCAAATCTGTGATGGAAATCTATATTGGAATGCAATTAAGGATTATAAGTGCTGTTTTATTATTGCTAGCTTCATCTTTGTTATAGATGGAATGCATGCCACTAGTGTCTTGAAGCAGCTTATACGCCTGAGTAATGAATTAACTAACTAAATTTGCCACCAGTTTTAAAGATCATTTAAACATTTTGATGGTCTGTACTGATGTGCTGAAACCCAAAGAGAGGAAAAGAAAAGTTGGCCATGGTGCATCTCATCCTAGGTGCTTTTTCAAAAGGTAAGTTCTGAACTGAACTGAAGAAGCTTCTTGGATGAGAAGCGAAATGTCTTCAAGAAGAAAAAAAAACAAAGTCCAGTTGCCTTTTGAAAAAGCACCTTTGGGACAACCATGACCTGGATGATTCAGAATCTCCATAGACATCTCATCCTGGGCTACTTTGTACCACTGGAACCATGAACATATCTTGATGGTTCTACTACAAAACAGCAGCAAGAGGAATATATAGATGTAACAATTGTGGAAGGATTGACTGTGATGATATGATGTCCAAACTGTTTTTGCTCAGGAAAGTTTAGGATTTTTTTAAAGGGAGGGGGGAATTTAACATTTTGAAATTATCATAAACATGAGAAGAAACCTAGAAGTAAGCATTATCTTATCCGATACAGATTGTTAAATCAAAAGATCAAGATAGTGCCCAGAGAACCCAAAGAGAGCCAGAATCTATTGGATCTTGGATAGACCATGTGCCATATTTAACACAAATTATTTTGTCTCCAAGAAGTGTCCCCAAAGTGATGATGCTCACTTTAAGCAGCTTAAACTTCATCACTGCTGGTGATTGGATAACAACTGGTCAGAGAGCAGCTCTTTAGGTTTTGAGAGCTGGAAGCCATTCGTCCTTCTAGATCATGGGAAGAACGGACTAGAGGTCGAGATCTAATATTTTGGGAGGTCCCGTCAATAGAGTTGGAACGTTGTATGTTAAGGGAGTGTTTAATTGGTCCATTTAAGCTGTATGTAGAAGCAGTACGCATCATCTAAAAACAATATAGGAAGGAGGAAGAAAACAAGGTTACTCTACATATTGCATCCAAGCCAGGTTTAAGGATTTTACATACTTACTTTCACTAACAGATTTTAACTGTAATTAGAGCTTTGCTACTCTTCAAATCAAAATACCAAGAACGTCCTTTCAACCCAACGGTGGAGCATATTCAAGGCAGTCTGAACAAGATCTACTGTTCCCTGATCATGATTTTCTTACCAATATAATTAATTTTTCAGCTGTTACAGTAATATAAATCTTTCAGAAGGGAAAAAAACTCATTCTAGCATAAGGCCACCAGAAGCTGGCAGTTGCATTAAGATAAAGAAAGCATCTGACACTTCCTTCTCTAAAAAGATATCCCTAAATAACATCAAACACCTGTTTAAACCTTTAGATCTACTTTCATGCACTGGGTCCAAGTAGATTCTGATAAACATTAAGGCGTTGAATGTCTCTTAAGAATCTATTTCTGTTCCTTTGACTTCCTAAAATTTAGATATCATATACACACTTCTGAATAGAGGCAGTTGTTGGCCTGCAATCAAGATTATGATGGAGCTGCAGAAGGTAGCTAGGGCTGGTCTTCGGAGTTCCAGCCATCCCAGCACTGCTGCAGTCATGTGATTGTGATCTGCAAGTTTGGCAGCTAGTTCCCACTTACAACCTGTTACACTGCCCCATGATCATGGGATTGCCAATTTCAACCTTTGCTTGGACTTCCTCAGAAAGTCAGTGTCTCCTTAAAAAGCCAGGGAAGGATGCAAGTTGCCGGGATAAGTCTCTCCCACCAATGCACCCTCCCCTAGCCCGTCTGCCTTTGTGCTGGATCTATGACAATTCACCACGGCCAACTTGCCATGACCAGTTTGCTGCAGCGAACTCGCCACGGGACAACTTGCTGAGGGGCAAGAGTGACACTAGTAAGAATAATAAAAGTTGGAAGGCACCTTGGAGGTCATCTAGTCCAACCCCCTGCTGGGTGGCTAAAGGAAGTACAAATCCATTTTAACGCCATTTTCGCCCCAAATTCTTGGTTCAAGTTAATAGTTTGAATATTTTTAGCAAATTGCTTTTCCTGTAACTGGTTCTTCATGTGGTCCTCTGGGCATTCACATGTGTAAATTCATGTCTGCACAGACCAGTGATGAAAGGCAAAACTCATTGCCTCTGTTTATATGGGATGTTGGTAACATTTGAACAATCTTGTCAAAGTTCTAAATTCCAGCTACACAAACAATGTCATTATATATGAGATGGTCTTTATGGTTATTCAACTGTTTTTAAGCTTTTTCAGGTACTCTGAAAACGTTTGTTTTGTTTTCTCAAAATCTCTCATCTGACATCTATTAAATCAACTTCCAGCATGTCCATCGTGCTTTTTTTATTTCTGGATACTATTGGAAAATATTTCTTTATTACTGAGGATTCTATTCTTTGCTATCTTCTAGCTACACTGACCAGATAGCTGGCACAACTTCAGAAAATTAAAATAGGTGATATCAGCAAGTCCATTATTCCAATAAGCACAACCCAGGACTCAGCCTCCCCCTTTGCTTGCATATTATTAGCCATGATTTCCCCAGGCAAGTCACTTACCGCTAAAGATGAAGTACTGGCAAGGCGGCTCCCTGAAAAGCTTTCACTGGTGGTGCAGAAATTCTTTCCGTCTACGCTGTTGTGGGCTATCAAAGCTCTCCGAAGCGCTCTCTTTGGGGTCTTGGAAAAAGAGAACGCTCGGGTAACCTGCAAAAAATGTTGACATGGAAAAATGGGTTGGGTAAAACAAGGAAGTTGTGCCCGATCCTTAAACTGGTTCCAAATCTTCCAAAAAGAGTGTGCTGACTTTTAAGTACACTATGACAGGGCTTTTCAACCTTTTCACCCATTGTACCACTTTTTGGATATGGCAACATCTGAGTACCACCAGTAGCCTAGTAAGGTCTCAAAAACTTGATGACCCCCCCCCCCCCAAAAAGGAAAAAAGTGATAAAGTACAGGTAGTCCTCGACTTACAACAGTTCGCTTAGTGACTGTTCAAAGTTACAATGGCACTGAAAAAAGTGCCCCCCAAGCCAACAGCCAAGCAAGACACCTGACGCCCGCCCGGCAGCGCTCTTCCTCCTGTCTGAGGTTTTCATTGTTGTGAGCATTTCTGTTGAGGATTGGCAGTAGGGGGGGTGTTTGGTTTTTATTCCCCGTCTGCTGGGTGGTTGCAGCAGGTTTTGGTCACTTCACATGACTCTGGGACACTGTGACCGTCATAAATATGAATCAGTTGCCAAGCATCTGAATGTAAATCACAAGACCCTGGAGATGCTGCAACATTCCAGCTGATCGGCGCTTCTTCTGGGTTCAGCAGAAGCACCAGGATCAGCACCGAGCTCCAGCTGGAGCCTGGCGCTGATCCTGGCGCTTCCGGTGAGCCCTGACAGCCCCGAAGTGCCGATCAGCTGGAAAGTGGCACTGATCCTGGCGCTTCCGCTGAGCCCTGACAGCCCTGCAGCTCCAGCCATCTCTCGCTCAGGCTTGTGTGGTGCTGCCATCGGTTCAGCTCATTCCCCTCCCCCGCTACCACTTTTCTAGGATGGTCGCATACCACCTGCCAGGTGCCAATGTACCACAGGTGGTACCCGTACCACTGGTTGAAAAGCCCTGGACTATGATTCACAGAATGTTGCAATCTCATTTCAGGTTATATACACTGCAACTTCAATTTTCCTTTTCTTAAAGCAGTGGTGCAGCTCTGTCGTAGGCTTTCAAATGATTTACTGGACTGGTTAGTTTTTTTACAGTATTGATTTGTTTTACCGATTTATATTTCACTTTCCTTGTGCAAACTTGAGGTAGGTGCACAGGTTAGAGCCTCCTTCAGCTTCAATCCTTCAACAGCCTGCTTGAACTAGGTTTAGCTGTGAGCTTTGTTACTATTAATTTATTTTACTATTCTCAGAATGATCGACAAGAGAACTCTAGTAAATAGGGAAACACAGGGTGTAGAGTTTCACAGCTCCCCAGTTGCGTGAAATTATATTCAGGCAATGGTTTGTGAGAATGTTCTAATGTTAGCCAGGCTAGCAAAACATCAGTACAGGTAATCCTCACCTGACAGTCACAATTGAGCCCAACATTTCTGTTGCTAAGCAAGGCGGTTAAGTGATTTTTTCCCCCATTTTACGACCTTTCTTGCCACAGTTGTTAAGTGAATCTGGCCTCCCTGTTGATTTTGCTTCTTAGAACGTTGCAAAAGGTGATCATATGACCCCGGGACACTGCAACAGTCACTAAATGAACTATTGTAAGTCAAGGACTAGCTGTATTCATTATCTCACACAGCATTCCCAGGAAGTCATTTCCCCACTAAAAGAGGAAACAATAAATAAGGGAAGAAGAATTTGGGAGGGGAAAATACCCCTCTGCTGCAGAAGTTGGCAGGGAGGAACCCACCCACCCCCCATGCCTACAGAAAGCACTGCAGATGAAAAGCTCTAAAAGAAACATATATTTTTTTCCAGGCTAAGCCATTCAGTTCAAAGCTGTTCCCTTATCAGTCTTTGCAACCTTTCTCTCCTCTGCCCCACCCTTTCCACTTATTCTACAGGCCATTTGTTCAATTTCTCTCCTACTGTGTGTGGCATCATTTTCCTATAGGAAGTAAATTAAGAGTGGCATGGCTTCACAATCTCTTCAGAAGCGCAGGATATGTACCAGCGCGTTTCATTTTTATTTTTTTTTTATGAACTTGGAAAATACTAAAGACCTGTATTTTATCATAGTGGGATCAAAAATCCAGGCCTTGTGAGTCTTGCCAAGGATGATTTTAACTGCTTTTTCAAAAAAAAGGCCTAACAGGGATTTAAATAGCTTTATGTTAAGAGTATATGGGTTTTGCGGGAGAGGGTTCTCTTAAGCAACCAAGACCCTGACATCAGATTAAGGCAGTAAGATGATAGGGGGGGGGGTTGTATGAAAGCCAAAATAAGGCAGCGAAGTATTTAAAATTATATATATATATCATTTCACTGGGAAATGAAATTGTGTCCTCAGTGTAGAATTCAAGGAGGCAAGTCCTTTTCAAGCTAAGCCTCTTACCTTCTTCGAGGTTTTCTTTATGGCCCGTGATGCTCTCCTCAATGTACTATCCACATCTTTCGTGTTTACTTCAATAGAATCAGGATCAGTGGCATAAATAAGATTTTCCTGGCAGGAAAAAGTCCCAACTATTAGCTTCAAGGGTAAAAAAAAAAAAAGCCATCTTAAATTTCAAATCCACGTTCAAAAACCCAGGGCTTAACTCCCCCAAATTCACAAGCCTACCTTTCCATAGTTGACAAATTATACATTACATCTGGCACATATTGACCGAAGTATAGGCGCTTTCTACTGTTTATTTGGCAAATGGGGGGGGGGGGAGAGAATCAGGTTTTAAGCCTCTGCTGCCATCATGTGGGAATGGTATACAAGTAATTTGAGAAAACAAAGCTTTTGTTTTTTTCTAGAAGAAAGGATACAAGCCACACATAGTCAAGAAATCAGGATTCCCTTATGCTAGAAAAGGAAAGATAAGCCATGCGTCACCAGATGCAGGAAGGACAGGTGTGACTTGCAGTCCTGAAGTAGAACATGTATCTAAGCTCTATTTGTAATTCAACGTGATACCAAGTTCACGTTGAACCTGGAGATGGGTTCTCTGACATCTCCATATCGTCTGTGGCCTCCAACCTTTTGGGCACCAGGGACCGGTTCCGTGGAAAGAGGCTTTTCTGCAGATTGGAAGGGATGTGGTTTTGTGTGCTGCCTGCATCCCGTGGATGAGGCTTTGCTGGTTTGCATGGTTTCTCGCATGTCGCGGCCTGGTCTATAAGACAGTTTATTTTTTGTTTTATATGTGCTCATCTGTGATATTCATTTACCACTGCAGCCTAAGATATACCATAGGTAACAGAGTATGATTGATCTATACTTGTGGACAAAAAAGCAAGTGTTCTAAATAATTTCTTCTTTCCTTCCTTCCTTCCTTCCTTCCTTCCTTCCTTCCTTCCTTCCTTCCTTTCCTTCCTTCCTTCCATGTCTATACACCTCACATTTTTAATGTAATTTATACCTCACCTTATTTTTTAATAAACAATTCAAGGCAGAAAACGTAATATTCCTTCTTTCTTCTATTTTTCTCATACTGTAACTACTTGTGAGTGACTTGGACTAAGGATATGTGACTGGCCCAAGGTCACTCAGCTGGTTTTCATAGCTAAGGCAGGACTAGAACTCACAATCCCCCAATGTCTAGCCTTAACTACTAGACCAAACTGTCCATCTATATATTTTATTATGTATTATAGTACTTTAATGCCTGATTCATTTTATTTCCAAGACAGATCTTATTTCCTTTTGATTTGGAGAACCCAATCAATCAAGTGGGCATCTCAAAAACATAAGCTCCACTAATTTTATCCAACTTATTTTTACCCTGCATATGAACAAAATCAAAAATGTGGCAGCTAAAAGGATAATTTCTAAAATACTAAAAATATCTGAAAATTTAAATAAAAAGAATGTAAACAAACAGCTCTTACAATAATTGAAGCGGACAGCTTTCCCAAGAAGAATCTTGTCAGAGAGCCAACAATCATGGCGCAAATGCTTCCTGAAAAGGAAACCTTGCTGTGCCAAGAGTTTACCTCATGCCACAAAGGCTGACATATAAAACAGGCCCATAAGTGGTGATGTTTCCGTGCTATTCAATTTGCAGCATTCAGGTTTTATATTTCTAACACCAGTGTCTGCCAGTAGACTACCTAAAAGACATTACTGTGCCATTTGGGAATAATGTCTCCATAATAAGCTGGTCCTTGGTTTATGGAGTGTTTTATAATCTGCAGGTGCTATCCCCTGACTGTTCAAAGCATGAATAGGATTTGCCAATGTACTCATTAGAATTCTGCCAACATACTTGGATTATAGCAATCATAAGTTTACTTGTCATACACAGATCTCCTATATCCTCAACATGACCAGAGACAACTGGTCATGTTGAGGATATAGCTTCTCATCCAACTATATGCCAAACAATATATTCCTTGATGCCTGCTGGGTCCTATTGCTTTTGGTTTTAAGATTTTCAATTTTTTAAAAAGTAGACAGTAAAATATTGGGAAGCAAAACATTAGCTTCAAGGATAAATTTGAATTTGGATTGAAGGCAATGCAATGTTTTGCATCTGATTCAGAAGAGGTGATTTGGAATCAGCAGGATTGTGAATGCAGCACTGGTCTGTGGCTCATTAAAGCAGCCACATTTATTTTTGGAACTTCTGGGAAAGTCCCTCTTCAGCAACCATGGGAGCCCAGAAAAAGAGGCGGCTGTTTCAGTGAGCCCCAGATAGAGGCTACATTGGTTCTCGTACTGAAGTACCTTTTCTGAATCAAATCCAAAACATTGCAGAGCCCTAGGTTTAGGATCAGGTGTACAAGGTAGAATCTGTCTACCCAACATTGTCTAGCAAAACGTTGCTTCCAATGCTGGAAGAGGAAGTGTTGAGGGCTCTCAGAAAACCAGATCCTCACAAAAATTCCACTCCCTCCTGGAATATCATGCTTCAAGAGAGCAAATGTGTCCCTTGCAATCTTCAGAAAAATGGTTGAGACTGTTTTGTTTCACAGGGCATTTGAGTAGGAGGATCTCCCAAAGTTAGCAAAAAAAATTTCTTTTAGGAATAGTATCTTTTGTTAACCTTTTTTTCATTTACTGGGTTTTAACTGCCTAGAGTTGCAAGGAGTCAGTGGCAATACAAATGAGGCTTAATAAATAAATCCCACCAATGCCTCTGGGCTTCACGTGCACCTCCTAAGCACTTTTAGGGAATTAAGCAGTGGGAAGCTGCTCCCTTGTGGTTGATTGGGAATTTTTTCCAGGCCTAACAAAAAGAGGAGATGATGGAATACTGAACAACCTGGAAGGCTAGAGAAGATGGCAAGAGTCCCTCAGTACTCTTCTGGCAAATAGCTCAGCCATTTTGTGAGCATACTCATAAATGTTTGAGAAATCCCAAATGTGATTCCCAACCTCAAGATTAGAGGTCACCTGTTCTATTAACTCATTCTATAATGTGTGCTCCTCATCAACTTTCATCTCAAGTGCTTACAGCATCTGCTTTGCATATTGTGTTTGCTACATGCCGACACAGCATCTTCAGCCAATCCTCCTTGAGAGGTTCTTCCGTTGTTATTTGAAAAGTGAACAATAGATTGCTTTGCTCCGTCGGCGGCCGCACAACCAATGCAAAGGCTTTGTGGCAGTCTGTAGAGAAAAGAATTTTTTTAAAAAAAATAATAATAAACAATTAAAGGAGGAAAGCATGTACTAGAGAAGATTGCAGAGAACATTAAGTCAAGGTAAGAACTAACATTTATAGTCCTGAACATTAACAAGCAAACGATATCAATATATAATTGGCTCTTTGTATATTTATATCTAGCTGAATTTCCTTTCCCCATATTAGCTCTCATTTTCATGGCTTACTGAAAGCTTCAAAT